AATCATTTTTACACATTAAGCCTCAACCTCATTCATACTCTGGCAACCTTTCAAAATAAAACAGTGAGCATCTTTCCACTTGTTTGAGTTTGACAACTGGACATTTTACACAATTAGGCAACTTTAACCCTTTATAGGCCACTCATTGAAATACTTGGAAATTTAAAATTTCAACCGTGGAGTGTTATTGGTGGATATAAGAGAACATTTTTGACTTTTCAAAAAAGTTTGAGATTTAGGTTGTAAATCAAAGTCAAAGCAGTTACCATATGCAATTTCTTGCCCACCTAGGGTGGCAAAAATAAATCAAAAAAATATGAGGATAAATTATTGTAAAAAAATAAAGATGAAGGAACATTTATTTCCAAATCATCAGTCAGACTGTCAAAACATCACTCTGGCTCACTCGTGATTGGTCAGAGGCCACAGTCACTATGTTGTGATGTAGCCTGACCCTCATTGATTGGTTGGATGAAGTCATGTGATTCTGCCCCCTGCCATTTTTAAAGCCTGCAAAAGTTACCATAAATGGTTCCAATACCAACATACGACATACCACTGTGTTACAGCATTTTATGACGTGTAGTCTAGGTTCTAGTATGAAAGTTAATGGTTCACTATATCTCAAGTTTCTGTGCCTAGTTCTTTTTCATTTTAAATAATTTAGGTTACAATGTGCACAAAACTAATACTCACTCACATGCAGATGATTAGGTGTTGTGTAGCTAAGGATCCTCTCTCTCGGATACACTTTTTTGAACACAGTTCACCTCAGCCCATTCAAGTCAAACGACTCCTGATGCAGATGATGTAATAATGCGATGAGGAAGCCCAAAGACATTGTGAGCATTGTCACAGCTCATGCTGGAAATGTTGTGAAGAAAGTGAGACAGACTCTTTTGAAGCTAGGAGAAGCCTCGTTGTGGCCATCTTGTTACTGGTTCTTGATTATGGTGATTTGTTAATGCATCTACACAGCAGGGCTGCAAGGTGGAGCAGTGGTTAGCATCATTGCCTCGCAGCAAGAAGCCGGTTCGCGTCCCGATGAGAACACCCGGGATCTTTCTCCCCGTGCAGCGTGGGTTCTCTCCGAGTTCTCCGGCTTCCTCCCACACAGTCCAAAAACATGTTGAGGTTAATTGGTGATTCTAAATTATGTGTAGGTGTGAATGTGAGTGTGCTTGGTTGTCTGTCTCTAAGTGTAGCCCTGTGATAGACTGGTGACCTGTCCAGGGTGTCCTCTGCCTTCACCCTAAGTCAGCTGGGATAGACTCCAGCCTAACCGCGACCCTAGTGAGGGTTCAGCGGTGTATAGATAATGGATGGATGGATGGATGGATGGATGGATGGGTGGATCTACACAGCATCCTTGCATGTTGGGCTTTGTTTGTGTGCTGTTCCCACATTAAAATCACTTACACACCATTACGAGCAAATTCCATTTGCACTGCTGGAAATTTCTTTTTAGTGAGGTCTTCTTGCAATCGTTATTTCCGATCAATAGACAAATAGCATATTTGCTGTCTGACAGATATAAATGCTTTATGTATTCTGCTCCATGTACCTCTACTATCAGAAATCAGAATGACTGTAAACTGTAAATGATTTAATAAAAATGTCAGTTCTTAGCTTACTTTGACTTTCATTTTAGTATTAATATGTGTTTGTAGTATTTTTATCCGTCTGATTTTGTATACAGACATATATTTTTAATGCCAGCGATTTACCTGGTTAAACAAAGGTTGAACAAATAGATAGCACTTGCTGCAACATCTGCATCAGTCAGCACTGGTGGTGGGAAATCAACTGCTCCATCAACACATGTCCACATTCGTTCATTTTCTACAACAACAACTTGGTGTAAAAACTGAGCCTTATGTCACGTCTTAGATTAGATTTGATTCATTGCTCGTCTTCAGGCCACACACACACACACACACACACACACATACACACACACACACACACAAACGTGCAGATGCCTTTTACCTTGAGATTGTGTCTATATGCAGCATCCAGTACTGCCGGGACTAAATCCTCAGCGGGTTCTCCGTTGTCATCAGCCAGACCAGGAGGGTACCAGGACAGGACCAGGACCCCTAGAGACACACACGTTTAGAGCCTGAACATACATCCTGGAAGAAAGACGCTGCACAAAACCTCAGGGAGCATCAGCTGAGGAGAAATAACGTCCACAAATGTACACGATCCCCTAAATATGTTATCCTATACATGTTTTAATCAGTGCATGGATTTCATTGCAAGAAATGCGAGCAGTGTTTTGTGGATGTTGTAGAAACCTTTGCTTTCATTAATCTACAGGGAGGCGTTCACACTGCTCTTGTAGTACATTAGAGCAATTAGTTGTTCTACAGGAGTCTGTCAGTCGGATGTGAAACTCTTCTGATGTGGGAGAAAGACTCCACAAGGGGCAGAGAGTAATTCTGTAGTCTTCTTGCATCTCTTTGTTCTTGTTTTTCCAACTCTTTGTAGTAATTTTGATTCTCTCTCTGGTCATTTTGTACTTATTTTGTTTCCCTTCGCAGTCATTTTTCTCTCTTTGTGATTTATTTTACACTTCTTCTGTGCTATTTTTTTGTCTCGTTGTGTTTCCTTGCACTTCAACGATCCATCCATGGCTGTGTGAAGAAGAGTTTTTTTTCTCCAAATGCCTCCCTGCACCATCCTGCATCTGATTGATGAATATGCACTTGTCATCTTAAGACTATTTATTATGCCTTGTTTTAGTGGCAATCTCTCTGCACATTTTGAGCGTGCGACAGCTCATAAATTCTAATCGAGAACTGCTTGTTCATACTCTGATGTTGACTGAAGAATAGCTTCATATCAGCCACCGCGGTGCCTGGCACCAGAGAGGAACTGGCACATCAGATATGCACTCAGAACTAATTCATTAAATTCATGTCTGCTTGCCGTGGAGCTGTGGGGACTATTACATTACAACACCCATCTATGTCCGTGCGTATTAAGAATACGGCCACTGCTATTCAGTTTTATTTATAGGAGACTGGGAAGTGGCGAGAAATCAGTCATCAAGTCAAGTGGAAGTATTTACAGTGTGTCTGGCTGTGGTGTCTAATTAAATGGATTGTTTTAACTAGGTTTCCCCCCCGTGATCCATCTGTTAAGGCGATGAGGTTTCACAGAGATGGATGGGCTGCTCATCATTCCGGATGGTGTACAATAACCTACCAAGCCGCAGGACAGAAGCATCAGGGCCTATCATGTGTAGGCTGGCGCTGTGGGATGTTACTTGACACCAGACTACAGGCTGTGGCTGTCTTTAAAGGAAGCCATAAAGGTTGTTTTTAAAAAAAGGAATACAACACACCTCATTAATAATTCACAAGACTGTCCTTAAATTCATCTTCAGTATCAGGTAGAATACTGTCCATCTAACTACAGTACATGACTCAGCCTGGATGACTTTTTACGCACATTTTTCAGGTTTTGACTACCAGGAAAGTTGTCTACTACTTCCTATGTGTGCTCTTTAGAAAAAAACGCGCAGCAGCAGCAGATATTTGGGGATGTGTGTGTGAGCGTGTGGGGAGCTGTCCACTGGATGTGTGGTGCTGAAAATGTTTACTGCCCCTCAAGCCAGAAAGCAGCTTTGTGCTTATAGAAGCCAGATTTCTGTGCAGCTGCTGAAAAACCAACACTCAGCTTTTTTTTTTTTTTTGTCTCTCTCCAAGAAATTCAGGGTGCCCCCTGCATCTCTGAACTGTACCTGCTGCGGATGCTCCGATCTGCTCCATGTGGGACTCCAACACGTCTGGATCTCTGGAGCTGTACGGATTGAGTTCGGGGTAGAAGCTGGAGCCGACGTCCTCGGGCGGCATGTGTCTCCCTCTCGGGTAGCTGGATGCGATTTTGGGGTCCCAGTGCGGAACCAGGATGTGGTCCCAGTGGATGTATTTGCCGTCCATGTGTGGGCTGCCGTACCAAGTGTAGTAAAAAATATGCACATCGTAGAATATAATCCCCTCGGGGCCGGAGTTGGAGAGAACTGCTTTGGTGTTGGTGCCGGGCGGGCGGGCTTGACCCGGGGAAGCGGTGGCATCGCGGGGCACGGAGCGCCGGTCCACCTTCCCCGCGATCATCGGCAGCAGGTCCAAACCCGGAGCCAGATCGGAGAAGCCGTCGCTGGGCTTGAGCGTCCTCAATCCCATCATGGTCCCAAAGATAAACAGCGTGAAAAGAAAGAGAGCAACGCAAGCCTTCCTCCGGAGCCGTGCCATGGTTTGGGGGGTTTTTGGTTGCGGAGCAAGAGCGCAAATGTCCTGTTCAGCTCACAAAGCCCTACGAGCAACTCTCCAAAGTGTCCCGCATGGCATCTAAATGAGACAGGGGAAGGGACGAGCCTACATGGTTGCAGCCCGGCAGCAGCAGCAGCAGCAGCAGACTACTTGACGCAGCTGGCTGAAGGCTTTTTTAACTTTCTTCTTCTGCAGCCTCGCGTTTCGCATTCTGCCGAGATGTTCTCTCCCCATGCAGCGGGGATAATCTAGTTGATAGCATCCAGCTGCTGCAGGAGATTACGTGTTTTTTTCTTTTTAATGCTGTCACAGGGCATATGTTCCCGATTCAAGACATTTCACTCACCGATCTCCAAACTGTCAGTGTGTGAGCTGCCTCTCTGCTGGATGCTGCGTCCCGCCCCAGGAGCTGCTCCATCCGCGGATCACCGGTGTCTGAATGCAAAAAAAATAAAAAATAAATAGTGATGCTCTCCGGTGAAGGGTTTTAAAGCCTCCCTGGTTGGTTGGCTTCTCCCTCACACTGTCTGTTTTGGATAGAAAAGAGAAACAGCCCAAAGCAGTCAGATGAATGGTTTTCTTATCAACACATAATCATCACTCTTTAGGTGGTGACATGAAATCATTTATCAGGATGTTTAAAAGTTCAACCTCCAGGGTCTGGTCGCCTCTCCTGCGCTGTGCGTCAAGACCTACACTGACATCTAGTGTTCCTCTGGTGTGATGCCTTCAGGGCTGCCAAAAAAGTGATCCTCTGCCAAACAAACTGATTACCCACTCAGCTGATATTCATCTATAGCTACTGTTATCTGAATCAAAACGGTGCCAACATGCAAACACACGTGACTTCACATCTGTGGCCAGAACAAAGGTTTAAGTCTTGTATAGCTGTGACCAGGATTCAAGGATTCAAGGTCTTTTATTGGTCACAAACACAGATACATGGTATAAGGCGCAGTGAAATGCTTTGTGTAGCTGTTACACACTGAAACAATAATCATAAGATAAATAATAATAGGGAATAAAACACACAAGAAATAAATATATATATATGAATGTATACATATAGAGAGAGGGAGAGAGATGGCAGAAATAAATCAATCAAATGTCCAAACAGTGCAAAAAGGGAATAAAACAAATAAAGAGAATAATAATAAAATTATGTACATGTATAAATACAAGGTTAAAAGTCCAAAGAAATGTCTTCAGCTAACAGCATAATCAGGGATGTATTGGTTTGAGTCACTTTTTTTTTTTTTTTTTTTTGAAGAAGAAGAAGAAGAAGAAGAAGAAAAAGTCAAAATTCTGCAAATCCAGCCTCATAAATGTTAAAATTTTGTAGTTTTTTTTATTCTCTATGACAATAAACTGGATAATCTTTGGGTTGTGGACAAACCAAGACATTTAAAGGTGTCATATTGATCAACACTTATCATTTTGTAAAACTTTACTAAGAACTAATTGATTAATCCAGAAAATAATTGACAATAAAGATCATCAGCCGTAGATTAGAAGCGATATTACAGTTTCTGATGTGTGTCTCATGTCTTATATCAGTGTTTAGGCTGCAATTAGCATGATTAGTGGATCTGCTTTGTACATAAAATAAAGAATGCACTCCTTTACTATTGTCCTATTGGTTATATTTCTAAAATCTGACTCTCGTGAATGAAATCAAGTCATTCTGATGCATTAATAACATTTCAGTCACACCACAGTCAAGCAGAAAAGGGCATTATATGAGTTGAACTGGCCCTTCAAAGATATTTTAACTGGTTAAAAGAATAAAAATGTTGGGGAAAGGACTGAAATGAATCATGTGGAACACACAGGAGGTGAAATAATGCAGAGACATGTAATCAGTGCAGTCAGTTTTTGGCAGACAATCAATTAATGGCACAAACTGTTGCATCCTGTGTGTTTACATGTTGTGATGTGCACCTTTTAAATAAAAGGAGAGAGCAGGGAGCTGGTAAACAAGTGTGGCTTTACTACTATTGTGATTATTGTTGCTATCAGATTGTAATTTTATCATTAACTGGTGGAAACTCTGTGAATTAAGCTTTGGATTTTTAATCATTTGTAAGCAAAATACAACTTTAAACTAAATGCAGAAGCTCAGGGAGGTTTACTGGAAAGCAACGTGTCACCAGAGGGGGGAAACCTGTCATACTGTATTTTATTATTTGATCAAACAGTTTAAAACAGTAGTAAACTGGATGAACTGGTGTAGTAGAGCGCCCCCTATCGTCAGAACCAGAGAACACGCTGTAATTTATTAGCTCGTTGGCTGCAGGCCAGCGGTGCGGCCCAAAGGCTCTGGCTTCCTGCCAGCATATTAGGCAGCACTTGAGAAGCACTGACCCCTTCATTGGAAATGATCTAATTTGCTCAGACTCCAACCTGGGGTTTAACTTCTTTGTTGTTTTAATACAAAACCCATCGAAAATAAACTAACTTTTCCACTGGGTCGTCCAGCAAACTTCCCAATCCAATCAGCGTAATGGCACCCAGTCCTGGCTGCCGCAGACAAACGGGCGCATAAAGAACATCATGGAGTGAATATTCAGCTTTAAGAATGGCCGGTTTAATAGAGTGAAATATGCGTATTGCTCTATTAAAGGGAAAGAAGTTGGTGAAGAGGGGAAAATAGTTTATTAATGGGGAATATATTGTAATCTCCCTCCAGCTATGGCACAAACATGTTCACTGGCTTTGCTTCTTGCGTAAGATTTGTTCAAATTATTCAAAACGTGGAATTCCAGGTTTTTTCATTGAAGCCAAAAGCAAAGAAAATAAAGGAATCATGTGAAAAATAAATCTTCTTCATCCACATTAACCTTTAATTCAAAAATAATCTAATTTTCCAAATGAACTTCATTGAAGGAGACACAGGTAACTGTTAAGGAAACACAAAAACATAAATGTGTGCATATGTAGCCTAGAAGGACTTTATATGACAACAGCAGTAGTTCCCAGATCTAAAGATAAACAGATGTTCAGTTTTACATTATATATATTTTTTTCTCCTTCTTTAAATCCTAAACTCAGGCTTTCTTCGATATGAGGCAAAGCTTTCCCTAATTTGCGCAATTCATATTTATGATTTTGAATATCAGATTGTCAGTTGTGTAATATTAAATAGCCTGTCGTGCGGTTCCACAAGGGGTCGTTGTGGTAGATGCGATCAACTCGATGCCAAAGTTGCCTGAGAAGCATCCATCACGCGCTCTGATGGTTGGTTCCATGTCATATTCTACATATGTCAGTTGGTATATTCATATTGTACTGCTCAGCTCATAAATGTTAATTAATTCAACCAATAAATGAGTTTCTTTGGCAAAGTTTGATCCTTAACTTGTGCATTTTTTAACACATTTGCCAGTTTAGAAATGTGAATTTTCAAAATAAACGCTGTTGGAATGGAACAATGGAAACGAAGAACAATTACAGATTTGCTGTTGTGTATTTTTTTGTGTGTGTTTTATTTTAGGATAAAAATAACATTAAATGAAATGACTTTAATTCAATAGAAATGCGTGGGGTTAGATAATAGCTGGTTTTCAGGATAACTTGTTTACAAAGCAATAATAACAATAATAAGTAGTATTATTTGTGTGCTGCTATTATTATTATTATTATTATTATTATTATTATTATTATTATTATTATTTCGATTAATTTGGCACTTTTGTTTCATTTTTTTTTCTTCCTCCATCCTCGGACACACTCCTCCACTTGCTCTAAAGCTCCATCTTCTGTCTTTAATACATCCATCATTCCACAAGGTTTCGAGTCAACATCTTAACATGATGTGATCAATCACTATCGATCCATGAATTCGTTTGACCAGCTCGGCTCTTTTTTTTTTTCCTCTCCATGCGGCCACCTTGAATCGTGGGCTGCTTTCATAAAACTACTTTGTATCCCTCTTCTTCTTCTTTTTTTCCTATTTTTTTTAGTCAAGCCCTCCTCACTTTTCTTCTTGACTTTATTATCTCTTCACTTCGCTTGAGTTGAGCTGTTCCTCCTCGAGCTGCATGCAGGGGAAAAACCCTCCCCCCCTCCTCCAAATTTCATCTGGATTACCATTACAAACCTTTTTTTTCTCTCTCTCTGTCTCTCTCTCTCTCTCTGGCATGTTGGGACAGCAGCTAACCAAATCACTGATCACAGGGAAACGAACACACATTAGGAGAGAAAATATGAGGAGAAAAAAAGTAATTCAGATGCACTATGGGGTTCCTAAATTATATAAGGGTTCCTCTTTTTTTTTTAAATAAAAAAGCCACAGTTAAACTAAATTCTTCTAAAAGAAAAAGTCAAATTAAATGTATCTAAACTGCCACTTAAGACCCCCTAATTTCTCCTCTTGTATTCCCTCCATGTCCAGTTTTAGATCATTTAAAGAAGTATTTATTCCAGCCCTATTGGCCTACTTAAAACCCTCACATGCAGAAATATGCTTCATCATGCCAACAACATACATCCCATCCACACATATATCATTTTTGCAATGTACAGTAAATGCAAACTCACTACCACAGAAATCTAAATTTGAATTGCTTCGTGGCCACTTCCCACATTCGGGCCCTTCCATCAACACAATATGCTGTGCAATCCTTGGGGACTGTAATTGTGAATCACGTGGACGTGACCGAGAGGTGTGGGGGGTTTGTTAGATGAGAAATTGTCATTTGTATTGACCAACAGAGCTGACCACTGCGAGGAGAGCCGAGAAAGCAGAGAGAAAGGAACGGCAGCAGCTGAACACTGGGAGCACAAACTGGCCCGCGAGCATGGCAGAAGGTATGTTGGGGAGTTATCTCTGGGAAGACTTAGGAGTGCTTTCTGGAGGGGCAGGGTTAAGTTGCATTGTCTAAGGTGTTTTTTTTTGGAGGGTGGGGGGATTCTTGGATTCTTCAGCAAAAAAAAAAAAAAAAAAAAATTCTCCCGATGACCCCCCCACCCCTCATTGTTTA